TTATAGAATACTAAATAAAGGGTTTGAAAATGAAAATATGATATAGAATATTGTTTTTAAAATTTCTAAAGATCTTCTTTTTTTTAAGTCTTATTTAGGTGAGTAAATTTATTTTAAAGGAAGAACAGATGGGAAAATAATTAGAAGCAAGACTTCTTTGATAAATTCGCCTTATAAAAATAAAATAATTGTCTATAACCATTTTTAACCTTAATAGTAATAAAATAACGAAAATGTAATTATTTAAAGGAATTAATTAATAAGTAAAATAAAATACTAGAAAAATAAATTTTAGAAAAATAATTATGAATAAACCTTTTAAAGCAAATAATAAAGTAAATAATTTCTCGAACAAAGTTGTTAATAAAAAAGAATCATATATTAATGTGTTAAAATAATAAATAATTAATTTACAATTTTTACTGTTATAAGAGATGTACTTTTTGATAAATTTGTCATAGAAATTTATGTACCAAAAACTTCAAGAATCCTTTAAAGTAACTTCCATTTACCTTAGTTACATGAATGCTCTTGGGAGTTCTTTAATTAAGTTTTAAAAGATAAGTTTTTCTTTTATTTTGAATATAATAATAATAATAATGATAATACTAGTATTTGTTTTAAAAATTATACTTAATTTATCAAAAGAAATAATTATATGGAAGCGAAAAAGTACTTTGCGCAAAATGATTAATTATAAGAGAAATAAGAAGAATAGAAATCTCTTTTTTGCATAAATATCGAATAAACATAAACACAAAATTACCAAGAAGACTTTTATACAAATCTTGTAAAAATAAAAAGAAGTGCAAAAGAGCCTGTGTTTAACTCTTTAATTAAAAAAATTATGCCAAAATCACAATTAATAGCCACAAATAAAAAAAATGTGCATTTTATTATTGATGATTTGAAAAAAAAGGCTAATATAGTAAAAGCATTTGTAAATAATTCTTATAAATAAAAAAATAATCTAAACGATAACTCATCATCATATTCTGTATAATCATCTCCTTTAGCATCTGAAAGTTTATTTTCTTAATTTAGTCGTAAGAATCAAAATTATTCAAGCGTTTTAAATATCCCTGAACCGAATTTAAATAATAACTTTATGGGTATTCAATATCCAAATAATAATTAAAAATTTAGAAAAACTTCTATTTTTTTTTTTTAGAGTTAGTAACAAAAAGAAATAAACATTTCTATATAAAAAACAAAATAAAAAAATGAAATAATATAAACTCCTTAAAAAGGTTTATGGAGAAAACTTTTTTTGAAACATAGGCTTAAAATTGTTTATCATAGAAATTAAAAAATGCTTTTTGAACTTTTCAGGAGCGAAAATTATCGAAAAGTTGATAAAATTTATTAGTTTAGATCTCTTACTAATCATATGGATAATTATTTTATTAATAATATTTCTTCATAAAATTTAAAAATTCATATAAATTTGTCGAAATAGGAATTTGGGATAGAATCATTAGCAAATATACAACTATTAGTTCAGATGAAAAATTATAAAATGTTTACTTTTATGTAGATGGTAAAACAAAACTTAATATTAGGGAAGTTCTTTTTATGGATCATATTCGTATTGATAATTAGGAAGAATATTTAACTTAAATACACATTAATTTTATAGATGTAGTTTTTTTTTTAAAAAAACATATATTAAAAAACTAAAATTTTAGGTTTTTCATAATCTAAATTAAATATAAAGATTTAAATAAAACTCAAACGAAGAGACAAGTGTATAAGCTTATAAAAAATAATTAGAGTTTTATTTCTTTGATAATATATAAACAATTTCTTATACAAAAAGCTCTTTATTTACAATATTTATAAAAATGCATTCTTTATACTAATAAAACGTATAATAAATGGAAATTAATTTAAGGGAAATTGTTAATTTATACATAGCGGAAGGATATTTTAAAAGTTAATTAAATTATATGAATTCAAAACTTAATTACGGAGATTTAAAATAACTGTGTTCTTTTATAGCTTATAAGCTTAAAACTTTAGAATTTATAGATATTGTGGAGATGAAAAGCAGTATAAAAAATTATTACAATTATTATAATTAGTATAATCATTAGTTGTATTTATTACCTGCTTTTAGGAATTAAAAAGAAAAAGAAAATAAAAGTGAAAACGAAATATTAATTTCTGATGAGAATTATATTATATATAGGGATGAAATACTCGATCCTTAGTAAAAATTTATGTTAAAAGCGTTTTTTTATACGAATGATTTAAGTTTTAAGTTTAAAGCTTATAAAACATGTTCAGATGAGAATATTATCAAGTTTAAATCATTGTAGTATTTTATAAAAAAAATACCATTTTTTAATACTTTTATATAATAAAAATAATACGAAATTGCTCTAAAAAGGGCAACACATTTTTATGCATAAAAACTTTTGATCTTATATGCAATTAATAATTATTAAAAAATTGATAACTAATGAGATAAATTGCAAATAATGTTTATATATATATATTTTTTATTATAAATACGAAATTAAAAATAAATTAATAATTTATTATATATAAATAATTTATTTAATTTTTATGTTTGTTATAATGTTTTTAATTAAAAAATATTAAATAATTTATATATAATTATTTTATTATTTCATATTCGTAAATTATATATTTTTTTGTATCATTATAACACAAAAATCTTAAAAAAAATATTATGTAATCTTAAATAGAAGAATTTTATAAAAATATAAAATAATAATTTAAAACTTTTAATGTTTTACAACCAGATGAAAAATCCAGAAATTTTGCCAATCATTAATCAAAATAAATGTATAAAATAGTTTCACCTTTAAATGAAAGTCAAAATATATTATAATAACCAAAATAATCATTTTAATAAAATCAGCCCTTTTAATAAAAATCTTAAATATTTTAAAAACCAATAATAAGCAATGAAAAACAAAAAATCGAATTTCCTAATTAATAATAATCATTTAATTTTTTTCAAAAAAATAAAAATAATAATAATTAAAAATAAAAATAATATGAATAATAAGAGAAATAATAAGAAGATTAAAGAAGTTAAATTAAATAAGTTAATTTTAAAATTTCAGATAATTAAAATTTCAATTAAGGATAAAATTTTAATTAAAACTAAAATTTCAATTAAAATTAAAATCAAAATTAAAGGTTCAATTAAAATGAAATTTCTATATAAAATGATATAAATTAATTTGTTTAATAAAACGAAAATCTTAATATAGAAGAAGGATATGTAAAATTGCTTTCTTATAAAACAGTATTATTATTAGTCTATAAAAAAAAAATAGAAATAATAAATACTTCTGAATTCGTATAATTTTAGTAAAAATGCAATAAAACAACTTATTTTTAACTTGAAGAAGAATCTATAGAAAGTATATAAAACGCTTTTTTACCAAAAAAACATAGTTTATGCCTTTCTATATAAGAAAATGATAATTTTAGCATTATTATATTAAATTTAAAAGGCGTAAAATAAACTCTTAAACTTTAAAATGTACATAAAGGAAATATAACTGATATTTAAATAACTGACCAAAATCATGTGATATCTATAGGACTGGATTCCAAAATAAATTTTTTTGTTTAACTTGAAGATAGATTCGAATTATTAGCTTAAGATTTTGTTTAAAATGTATATTTTAATAATATATATTTGTTTTTTTTTTTTTTAGAATTTATATTAATATTTTTTAATTTTTTAGAATTTTATAAAAAATAGTGCATTAATTTCCATTTGTGTATTAAAGAATTAATTTTTTGTCGGAAGTTCTTAAGGACAACTTGTATAATACTCAATAGAAAATTTAGGAATAAATTCTAAGAAAATTGAGACTGATAACTCTTGCATATTTAAAATTTGTAATTTTTAAAAGAAATATGTTTTAGTATTCTAAAACTATCAAAAATAAAGTAAAATTTCATAAATTCAATTTACAAATGGATAACAGAATTTAGTTTAAATAAAATAATTTTCTTAAGCTTTTACTTCTGTAGAAATTCTAAAGCGATAATTGGAATCAAAGCTTTTAGTATTTATAGCTTTTGGAAATCAAACAATAGGCATTTTTAAATTTTAGAATGATTAAAGTCTTGCTTTTTAAAAAGGATTTATTACTGGATTATATGTATAAGATATATAATTAGTTGTTAAAAGTTTAAATATGATTTCGTTTGGGTATATTTTTTACACATAAATATAAAATGGCGAATAAAATTATATATAATGCCAGAAATTAGAAGATTTTATTATATGAAAAAAAAAAAAAAAAAAAAAAAAAAAAAGTTTATTAGATAAAATTATTATTTGTTTTTTTAAATATTTTAAAAGAATTTCAAAAAAAAAAAAAAATTTTTTAATTTATATAAATATTAAATGGTAAGAATTTATTATATTTTATTTATTAAATAATGAAAAACTTTCTAATTAAAAAATCTATTGTTAATTGTAAATATATTTTATATTATTATTAGTTTTTTCTTATATCTAATACATATATCATTAAATATTTTGCAATATCAAAAATAAATATAATATTATTATTTAATATTAACATTACTTAAAAAATATTTATTTATAATGAAAATTTTATAAATTAATATTATGATATATACATAACACAATTTATAATCTATTTAAATACAATCTTTCATTATTGAATATTATAACATTATCTTTTTAATTTTTATTTCATTAAAAAAAATATAAATATTTATATTTGTAAAAAAGAAATATAATTTAATATTAAAAAATATTTTTATTTAAAATTATAATATTTTTTTTTTCAAAATTTTTACTATTATTATTATTATATTTAAATTTCTTAAATTGTATGTTATTTTTAGATTTCATTATCACATTCATTTATTAATTCATTTTCTAACTATTTGTTTAAGATTTTCTGTTATTTTATTTCTTCTTTTCTATCTTTGTAATTATAAATAAAAAAAGGCTTAAAAACATATTCGTCTACTGTTTTCCATTTTTTCTAGCTATAACTCTTATATTATCTATCCTGATAAGGTTCTCCCTAAGCTAAACTTTCCTGAATAGAATTGTTATCTACAAACTAAGGATTAACTTACATTTTTTTAAGAACTAAATGCACAAAGCTAGGCATAATTCCTCCCAAAATAATTGTTGTTATAATCACAATTGCAAAAGTAGTACTTTAAACAATATATGTAGAATAATCTGAATCATTTTCCAGAGGAACTTTTAAAATCAAAGCAAAGGCAATAGCTCCTCTAATAACTCCAGCAAACCAAATAATAGAAATTTCATATACATTTATTCGACATTTTTTATTCCTAAATTAATAATACCCAATAAAAAGCCATGAAAGTATAAAAATACTGAAAAACCTAGAAAGAAAACATACTATAATTTCCAATAAAATAAAACTCCAGGACCATTTTTGCTTAAAATCATTTCCATTAAATTAAAAGCAAACAACACCTAATGCTATATATAAAACTGCTTCACAAATTTAAGAAATAGTATCAAAAACTACTTTTGTGGTAGTTTTTGCTTTTTCAGATATATTATACATTAAATAATGAGACATAGTTATTCCGCAAACTAGAATTGTAATAACTCCGGAAAGTTAGCATATTTCTGATAATAAATATGAAAGGAAACCAAAACTAAATATAATGGCAGTCTCTAATTTTGGAAGTTATTCAAACACACGTACTTTTTTAGTTAAATAAGTCACAAACAAGCCAAAAGCCAATCCCATAAGTATACTTAAAACTGCATTTTTTATAAATTATCCAAACATTTCTAAAAATTTTAAAAAGTTGAACTCTATTTCTTTTTTAGGATCTTTTACCATTTCAAAAACTGCAGTATATAAAATAATTGATACTGAATCATTTACCATTCCTTCACCGAATATAATACTGAAAAGTTTTGGGTATTTAGATGGAGATATCATGGCTAAAGCTGAAACACTGTCAGTTGCACATATTGTTGCGGAAAATAAAAGAATAGCTTTTGTATTTAAATATTAAATAGGATTTTCTAAATCAAAATTTCTTATTAAACCTAATTTTATTTTATTTTTTTATTTTTATATTTTCTATGTTTAAAAGAAAAAAAAACCGGCTTTATTAATTAAATAGGTTAATCCCCATACTACTAAAAAATTTATTATTGTACCAAATAACCCATACACAGTAATGTATTAAAAGTTTTAAAAAAACAACGTTTTTTTAAATTGTAACCACCCGCAAATATTATTGGAGGCAAAATTATGGAAAAGAAAATATTATTGTCAAAATCAAGCTTTTAAATAATTAAAAATTAGATTTATTCAATTTTTAAAAAATACTTTTGAATCGTAAAATTTATAAAGAATTATACCAACAATCATGCCTAATATTATACCAAAACCTGTTTCATGGATATAGTGAAACTAATATTTTATTTTAGTATTATTTTGATTTTGATTTTGATTTTATTTTTACTTTTATTTTTTCAAGTATTTATCCTATAAATAGATAGCAAAGAACCAAACATATAATAACTATTATGTTTACTTCAAATTAATTATTATCTTAATCAAACATGTTTTTTTTTATTTATTTACTATTTATTTATTTTTATTTGTTTTAATTTATATATATTATTATTTTATATAAGATAGCAAAATTAAAAATAAATATAATAAAGAACTAAAATTATCGCATTTATATAATAAACATAATATATGTAGTTTTTAGATATAAAAATTATCTTTTAACTTTAAAAACATATTTATATTTTAGCAAAAATTAATTAATAGAAATATAAAATTCAATGTTGAGTATAATAACTTTATTATTATTATATATAGCTTTATTATTATTAAATATAACTTTATTATTATTGTTAACCCTATTATTATTAATTATTTCCTTATTTACTTTAAATTATACTTTTTTAAGTATTTTAATATACATTATTCGTTATTTATTATATATGTAGCAAAAGTTAAGGATTTTTAAGTTTAACTAGTTCTTCTATGTCTTTAATTCTTCCATCCATTAAATTTAATTTCGATTTACTTGCTCCATATTTATAAGAGACATTTTGCCTTATTATATCATCATCTCCACTTATCATATCATATCTTAAAACTTCAACATCTTTATAATTTAAGGTTTAAATGATTTACATGAAACCTGTATTATTTGGTTTTATATTCAAAATACAAGAAAATCTAAAAATAAAATATTTTCATATTTTTTTTATTTTTACTTTTAAGATTCAGTTTTACATTTGGTAATATGATTTTATGTTGATTATAAATATTGAGGAAAATTTCCTTATAATTATTGTGTTTTTTTTATATATTCATATATTTCATTATCTAACCTATTTATTTTATATTTCTTATATTTTTTTTTTTACGTATGATAAAAATAAAAAAAATGTCATTTTCGGTTGTAAGTTCAATAGTCATTTTTTCTAATTATTTTTCTTTTGCGAAAGTTAAAATTCTTAAATTTATCAATTCTATTTATGCAGGATTTCTTTCTATTCCTTATTAGTCTATATATTTTATTAAAATTGGTAATTCGATATGAAATATTTGCTTATAATTGCTTCCTTAAATGTTTTTTTATTATTTTTTTATTTATTACAATTACTTAAAATGGGATCCATTTTTTTTATTGGGGTTAAATCAAATTAATTTAATATCATTTTTTAAAATGTATAAAAATAAAATAGCAATAAAACTTGATATTTATTACTTTTTTTATTATTTTAAAAAAAAAAACTTAATTATATATAATTAAAAAAAATATATATTTTATATATGAGTTGAGCAATTAATTATTAATTTAAAAGTTTTAATTATAAAATTTATTGAAATATTAAATATTTTATTAAATTATAAATTTAAAAAAATATATATATATTTTTTTATATTTTAAATTTAAAATAAATAAAATATTTTTTAAATTGATTTTTTATTTATCTTTATAAATTTTAATTTAAAATAAATTAATTAAATATTTAAATAAAAAAAAATCTTTATTATAATATTTAAAATAAATATACAATAAACTAATAATAGAAAATAGTTTTGCATTTTATTAAAATATTACCTTACCTATAATAAATTTAATATAAAATTAAAATTAAATAAATATATTATATATATTAAATTATATATTAAAAAAATAATAAATTAAAACAGTTATAAAAATAAATATATATATATATAAATTAATAAATAAAATATTTAGAAAGAAAAAAAAAAAAAATTAATAATAAATAATATATATTAATAAATATTACAAATATTATATTAAAAAAGCATAAAAAACATAAATTATTTATATTATTATATATTAAAGATATTTATTATATATATTTTATTTCATTAAATTTAATTTATAATATTTGTTTTTATGTATAAATTTAATAAAATAATTAAAAATATTAATATATGATATATATTTATATAAATAAATATAAATATAAAAAAAATATAAATATAAATATATATTACATATTTTAAATATAGAAAAGAGAACTTGCTTTAAATTTATAAAAAAAGATTAATAAAAATAAATTTAAATAATTAATTTATAAGAAAAATATAAAAAGTAAAATTGTTGAAGAAAATAAATATATTAATATAATATTATAAAAACAATTATTTTGTTACATTTATAAATTAAAATTAACATAAAGAATAAAATAAAATAGAAAAAATAATAAGTAATTAATAAATTTATGGAAAAATATATTAAATACATATATTTATTTAAAAATAAACATATTAATATTATATTTATTAAATTTGTAAAATATTTTTATATTCATAAATAATATATTATAAATTATAAAATTATTATTTATCATGATTTATTAAAATATATAATAATATAAAAAAAAGTTACATTTATTATTTGAAGTAATAAAATAAAAGATAAATATTATTTATAATATATTATATATTTTAAGTATTATTAAGAAAATTATTTAACAATTATTAAAATATAAAATAAAAATAATTTCATATAATATATATTTAATAAATTATATGTAATATAAAATAATAATTATATATAAAAAATGAAAATTCATATAAAAAATACAAATTTATTGCAAATATTAAATATAAAGTAATAGTGCAAAGTATTTCCAAGAAGATTTAATATTATTATTAATTATTTTTTTAAAAAAATACATAAATATATTTGGAAAAGGTATTTAGGGTTGAAGTTTTGGGGTTGGGGTTGGGGTTGGGGTTGGGGTTGGGGTTGGGGTTGGGGTGGGG